GTTGCGCGTATCAGGGTAGACCGGCGAGGCAGTGCGGGGGTCGGAGGGGATGCCCGATAATCTGTCTGAAATCCAGCTCCCGCCGCAGCGTCCGCTAATATCCGCGGCGTTCGCGCAGCTCAGGGCTGCAGCTCAATTACTGGGGCTCCGTGATTTATATCTGTGTCTGGCATGATCTGCGGCTGACGGGAGCCTGTAAATAGCTCCGTGCCTTTTCCTGGGAGCTGCCTCTTCACTCTTTTTTTTTTCCATTTTTTTGGTGTTTTTTTTTAAAAAAAAAGGCTATAAATAAATAGCTCAGCCTTTGGGGGTACCTGTAGGCAGACTCTCAATTGTCGGTGTGCTGGCCCCTGCACAAAGCTCCCCCAGGCATTGCAGGGTCTGGGACCCCCAGGGACCCCCTGAAATGTCCCTGGTACCTCTGGACCCAGCTCCAGGGACCAGTTCTGCTCCGGCGCAGGCGGAGGACTCAGTCGTTCCTCGCTTTCCTGGGAGTGAGAGGCTGTAGGTGACACGGAGAAACCAGCACATAAATAAGCGTGAGCCCAGTGTCATAGTCAAGAAGCCCAAATGGTGAAGGATCTCCCAAATTAACTGTGCATGAAATTGGATAGAGACAGTGGCTCGGCCCATCCTTCACCACAGAGATTTGTGTGCGACGGCAGAGTCTCCTACCAGCGATAGCCTTCCCTGGCTGGGAAGACACAAAATCTTCCCGTAGGACCAACTGATCACACCGGGGAACAGCCATCAGGGGAGCCAGTGCCCTGGTCCACCTGGATCCAGGAGGGGACAGCAGGTCCTCCCCCAGGACCGCACTCCCCGGCCCACGGACCTGCTCCCTGGTGTCACCCAGGCACTTTGCAAGGAACCGCTGCGACTCACGGCCCCAAGCATCAAACTGCTCTGCAAAATGTACCGCGTGAAACGTGCCCATCAAAGTGGGGTTTGTTCAAAAGACTCTTCAAATGAACCCTTCCCTGTTTTTTCTCCCAGTTTTCCATGTCGGTGACCCTGTGCACGAGCCCAGTCCCCACCCTGGCAGGTGGCCCTGGGTCTGGATCACTTAGAGGACACGCGAGATTTCCCAGTTCATCAAGGTTGGGATATTCAAGCCCCTCTTATGAAGACAGGGCGTCTCCAGGTATAAAGTGTTAACAACACGGTTAAAAACATATTGTGCTGGTACCAATATGCTTTAGGACTTTAACATGAGTAGCTATATGCATACATAGGACATAGGAAGAGAGTCAACGGTTTTGCCATAGCAGGTATCATCCATGGTGGGTGCCCACCCAGCCACCCATCTCAGGAGCCTGGCAGCAGAGGTGCCTTCCCAGACACATCCTCCACCCTGTCTCTCCATAACGATGTCTCTGGAAATGGCAGGAATG